CCCTCTCTCTCTCTTCCGCTTCTCCTCTGCTTCTCGCTTCCCTCTTCTCTCTTCCCTCTCTTCCGACCTGTCTTTCCTTCTCCTCTCTTCGTTCTTCAACATGTCTCTTCTCTTTCTTTCATTCTCCTCCCTCCTCCTCTGTTCCTCCCTCCTCCTTCTCTCCTCTTCTCTTTTTCTCTCCTCCATCTCGATCTCCTTTTTCCTCTTCTCCTCCTGCTCTCTACCGACTTCTCTCTCCATCATCTCCTGCCTCCTACCTTTTTCTTTCTCTTCTTTCTCTCTTTTTACTTTCTTCTCCCGTTCTCCTCTGTTTTTTCCTTTTCCTCCTTTTCCCTTCTTTCCTCCATTTGTCTCTCCCTCTTCCATCTCTCTTCTCTTCTTTTTCTTTCCTCCTTTCTTTCTAATATTTCTTTTATCTCCCTCATTTCTGCTTCCGTCCTACTCATCTGCTCCGTTATCTCTCTCCCTACCTCTCTCCACGCTTCTATCATCGCCTCTACCGCCTCTTTCCATTCTCTCCCTCCGCTCTCCTTTCCTCCTTCCGTCTTCTTCCCGTCTCTTCCGTCCATCTTCTCACCTTTGTCTCTCCTGCTACTCCCCGTTTCTTCTTTTCTCTCCGCTTCCTTTCACCCTACTCTTTCGTCTTCTCTCTCTCCTTCCTCCCCTCCTCCGCTTTCTCCTCTCCTCCGCTCCTCCCCTTCTTCCTTTCCGTTTCCTCTTCTCTCGCTCCGTTCTCCTCCGTCCCGCTCCTCTCCTTCTCCCACACGTTGTCTCCGCTGCTCCTTCCTCCCTCTCTCCCCTTCTATGCAATACAGAATACCTATTTCTTAACTCCTCTCTATGTTTCCTTCGTTCTACCGACCTTAACCTCTTTCTCCCTGTCTCCTATCCTCTCCCCTTTTCTTACCTCCTGTCTCCTCTCTCACCTCTCCCTCACTCCTCTCCACCCTTGCTCTCTCTTTCCTCTCGATTCCTCCTCCGCCTGTCTTTCTCCTTTTTCCTCTGCCTCCGCTTTTGCCTTGTTCTTATCCTCCGTTTCCTACTACCGCGTGGCTTGCTACCTGTACTACCTGTCCCTTCTCCCGCTCCTTCTACATCTTCCTTGTCGATCACTCGATTACTCGAGCTTATCGACCAGCCCGAGCTCTCCTGTCTCTCTCCCGTCTCTCTCTCTATATCGCTCGGCTCGCCACTGTCGCCTTCCACCTCCTCTCCTTCGATCTCTCGATCCTCCCGTCCAATCCTCTTCCTTCCCTGTATCGATTATATCGATTATATCGATTATATCGATGCTCGCTCCTCTTCCCTCCTCTCTCCTCGCTCCTCGTCCCTCCTGTCTCCTCGTTCCAAGACTACCGGTTCCTGCCATCTCATCTTTTCCATTCCCGTTTCTCCTTCACTTTTCACTTTTCACTATTTTCTCTCGCCTTCCTGCCCACCGATTCTTCTCCCGTTCCTCCTTCCATCGCTCTTTCCTCGCTCCCCTCTCCTCCTCCTCCTTCCTTAGTCCAGAAACGCCGACTCATTGCCGCTTCACTTTTTCCGCTTCGATTTCTCCTCCGCCTTCCGCCTATTCTTCTCGCCTCCATGTCCTCTGGTTCCTCTCTCGTTCCTCTCACTCTCACTTCCTCCTTCTTCCTCATCCTCCACCTTTACATCTCACTTCCGACACTTCTCTCACCGCCTTCCTTCACCAACCTCTTTTCTCCTCGCCATCTTTACCCCCTCTCTCAAGAAACATTATATTGCACCCTCAATTTGGTAAATTATAAAATCACATAAAAGTTATTAATCACGTAAAAGTATGTAAACCTTAACTGAAAATCCACTTGAACTTAATAATTAGTAATTATAACTAGTAATAACTAGTAATCAAAGTTAAATAATTTGATATTGTAACATAAAAATAAAAGTTTCTCGGCATTTTCACCCAACAGATTACTGTGTCTGTCCGCATAAATCTGTCCAGCAGAGCTAAATACTTGTTCGCTTGCTACACTAGTCGGCGGTGCTGATAAAAATTTTTTCGAAGCTTTCTGTAATTGCTGATACGGACTAGAATGCCAATAAGCATAAATATTAGCATTTCTCTCAAGCCTAGGCTCTTTTAGAAATGATTGGAAAGTTTCCTGTAAAGATATTTCTCCCTCTGATGCATTTTCTTTTGGAGAGTTATCGTGAGCTTCCCACAAACTCTGTTCGGACACATTTTTTGAAGTTGCTGAAGAATTTTCTACATGAGCATAAGTAGTCTTATCCATAACTTGTGATGTTGATGTGTTCTCTTCTTTAAGCAAAAAATCTGTTACTTCTTTCTTTCCAATTTCAATTTCATCAGGTGTTAGATATTTTGTTTTAAACCTAGGATCTAAAAGAGTCGCAGTTATCAACAGTGTTGAATTTTTAATATAAGCAAACCGTTTATTCAAAGATTCTAATAGCTTTTGTTTCATTTTCAAAATGGTATCATCGTCATCATCGTCTGTCGGTTGAAGTTTACCAGTTAACATGGTAATGAGTGGAATAATTAAAGAAACACAAGCATCATCACGAGATATGTCTAAAGTAGCTTCATAAAAACTTTTCAACACTTTTATAATATTTGTGGCTAATTCCCATTCCGCGTTATTAAGAGTTTCTATTCCTCCGCGTTCGATGCTATAGAGGTTGATGGCATTTTTTTGTTCATTAAGACGTTCCAACATGAGAAATGTGCTGTTCCATCTGGTTTCTATGTCTTGTATTAACGAATGATGTGGAACAGCACATGTCTCTTGACATTTAGATAAATATCTGGTTGCTTGTTCACTGCGCTTAAAATGTCCTACAATCTTTCTGCATTTTCTTTTGAGTATTTCTACATTTTCTTGCAAGAAAACAGCGTCCTGTATTACTAATTGCAGGGTGTGAGCTACACATCCCAATGCAGAAAATTCTGCAATACGTGTGGCACAATTCATATTAGCGGCATTGTCTCTTATTGCCATGTGGATTTTTTTCCTAATATTATAGCTATCAATTAGCTCAATGAGTTTTTGCGAAATGTAGATTCCAGTATGATCTTCTTCTAAAACGCTAGCACCTAAAACTACTTTTAATCTTTGAGGTCCAAGAATAAAATGTGCTGTAAAACTTAATAAGGAACAAGATTTTGTCGGATTGGACCAAATATCCGTAGTAAAACTGATCCACTGAACTTGGCAAATCATGTCATTAATTTTTGCTTTTACTTTGTCATATGTTGCCGGCATTAAAGTTGTGCGGAAATATTTTTTAGATTTTATTCTGTATTTGCTTGGTTTGGCTGGGTCTGCAAAATTAATTTGTTTAAAAGCATTACTTTCTACAATAGAATATGGCAACATATCGACAATCAAAAAATCCATTATTGCTTTATCGATGCGTCGTGAAATTTCGTGATCATCTGGCCAGAATGATGTACCAGCACCATGCTTAATGAGATTAGGGATCGTAATTTGAACATTATTTGTTAAGGTTGATTGGACTTTTTCACGGTTTATTCTAGGTTCTGATTGTTCTTGTTCTTCTTTATATCTTAAAAATAAATAATATACCAATTTAATGATTAAATAAAATTATTTTGTTTTAATTATATATATAAGTTTCGTATTCAAGTTACAAATATAAATCGCTTAGTAAATATTAAAAAAGATGAACAAACCTTTGTAAATAGTGTTTATATTGTTCAGAATGAAATTTCGATAAATGCTGTTTTAGGCCATGCACTGTTTGGTTTTTGGGTTTGTCACTTCCCAGAGATAATAATTTGTCACATATATTGCATTGGGCCTTGGATAGATTTAAGTCAGATTTGACGAAATAATCCCATATAGGATTTTTCTTTGGCATCTTAACCTGGATATTAACATGAACATTACTTTCATAAAATTTAAACCTATACGCAAACAAGGAGATAAAATAGGGACTTACAGTATTTTATTAGCAACCAACGAGAGTATTTTTTGGATATTTTAAGTGCCGCCAACTTCAAGAGAATCGGATATTACTCTTTGACATTATTAGCAACCGATGAGCGTTTGAGAGGTTACGTTCGATGTTATGCATTTAAGGCGACATCTGTAGTTTCGGCTTTCACCGAAATTTTTTCTCTATTTCGGCCGAAACCGAAATCAAGCCGAAATCTTGATTTTAGGCCGAAAATGGCCGAAACCGAAACCGAAACCGAAATTTCGGTCGGACTCTACCAGTTTGTACACAAGGTATGCTGAAGACTTTTATTATAACCAGT